TGGGGGACCTATGGGACCTGCGGGACCTGTTGGCCTAGTGGGATCTGGGGAGACCTATGGGATCTGTGGGACCAGCGAGACCTGTGGAACCTGTGGGACCTGTGGGTCCTGTGGGATCTGTGGGACCTGCGGGACCTGTGGAACCTGTCGGACCTGTGGGACCCGTGGGACCTGCGGGTCCTGCGGCACCCTGGAACACCCCCCACTTGTGCGACGTGTGGGGTGTGTGGGACCCGTGGGACATGTGGGACCTCGGGGACTTGCGACCCCTGTGAGACCTGGGGAACTACCTGCGCCGCGCGCGCCATCCGCTGGACATGTGGGACCTGCGAGGCCCGGGGGTCTGTGGGACTAGTGGGCTCTGTGGGACTTGTGAGACCTGTGGGACTTGCGGGGGGGACCTATGGGACCTGGGAGACCTGTAGGACCTGTGGGTTCTCGGGGAACTGTGGGACCTGCGGGACCTGTGGACCCTGCCGGACCTGTGGGAACTGTGGGTCCTGTGGAACCTGCGGGACCTCGCATCCGAGCCGACGCAATGGGAGAGCCATCGAGGCGAACATGGGGTCACATGGAACCGATCTAGATCGCAATGGCGCCCAATCCGCATCGAACCGACGGCGGCCCGCAATGGAGCGGCGCGCCAGCGCTACCTCTGGCGCGCGCCAGCGTCGCCATCGCAGCCCATGCGCGCCTCGACAGCAATCAAGATGGCCCCAAAGAACACATTGGCCATCGCATGGGCGTCCGAGCGGACCCGATCCGTCTGGGGATCCCTGGCGCGGCGCGCGCGCCATCCGCAGGAAATGCGGGCCCCTCGAGACCTGGGGAACTGTGAGACTAGCGGGCTCTGTGGGACCTGAAGGACCTAGGGAATCTGTGGGACCCTGTAGGACCTGGGGGAGCTCTGGGACGCGTGGGGCCTGCGGGACCGGTGGGACCTGTGAGACCAATGGGACTGTGGGTCGTGTGAGACCTGCGCGACGTGCGACACACCTGTGCGCAATCTTGGGCCCGTGGGAGCTGAGGCACCCGTTGGACTTGGGAGACATGCGACACCTGTGGGACATTGGGGCCCTAGCTGCACTCAGCGTGTCCGGGGATCCCCGGCGCGCCGCGCGCGCCATCCGCTGGACATCAGGGACCTGCGAGGACTGTAGAACTAGTGGGCTCTGTGGAACCTGCGGGACCTGTGGGACCTGTGGGTCCTGTGGGACCTGCGAGACCTGCGAGACCTGTGCGACATGTGGGAACCGTGGGACCCGCGGTGCATGTGGGACCTGCGAGACCTGCGACACCTGTGGAACCTGGGGGGGCCTACGTGCACTCAAGCGTGTCTGGGGATCCCCATCGCGCCGCACGCGCCGTCCGCTGGGAATGCGGGGCCTGCGGGATGTGCGGGACCTGCGGGGCGCGCGAGTCTCCCAAGCGGACCGTTGAAGTCAACGCCATGAAGCGCGAACGGAACGCCGCTGTAAGGGGGGGAAACAGATTGGAATTCTGCGCGGGGCGCCCATTCGGGATTGCCAGGCGCGCGACGCAGCGCGCCCCCCCACCCCCGCACACACGCGCGCGCGCGCGCGCACGCACGCGCACACAAAAAAATGCACGGGGCAGTAAAAAAACAAAAGGAAAAATGGTGGGGGGTTTGGGGGGAGGGGCTGTTTTTAATATTTTCTGATCCGCAACGCGAACTTGGCGGGAAGCCGCCCACGGCATCGAAAAAGCGCAACATCGACCCTGAGAGTTTCCATATTCTCGGTTTGAAATGTAATAAATGCGCGATTGAGCATCATATGGTACACGTTGGACAAATGCGCGCGCAAATGCAATTTTATGAATCACCGTGCGACCCAGGGGCGTTGAATCCAAATCTAATTCGCATCCGAGCCGACGCAATGGGAGAGCCATCGAGACGAACTTGGGGTCACATGGAACAGATATAGATCCCAATGGCGCCCAATCCGCATCGAACCGACGGCGGCCCGCAATGGAGCGGCGCACCTGCGATACCCCTGGCGTGCGCCGGCGTCGCCATCGCAGCTCATGCGCGCCTCGACAGAAATCAGGATGGCCCCAAGGAACAATCTGGCCATCGCATGGGCGTCCGAGCGGACCCGATCCGTCTGGGGACCGATGGCACGCCGCGCGCGCCATCAGCTGGAAATGCGGGACCTGCGGGGCCCCTCGAGACCTGGGGAACTGTGAGACTAGCGGGCTCTGTGGGACCTGAAGGACCTAGGGAATCTGTGGGACCCTGTAGGACCTGGGGGAGCTCTGGGACGCGTGGGGCCTGCGGGACCGGTGGGACCTGTGAGACCAATGGGACTGTGGGTCGTGTGAGACCTGCGCGACGTGCGACACACCTGTGCGCAATCTTGGGCCCGTGGGAGCTGAGGCACCCGTTGGACTTGGGAGACATGCGACACCTGTGGGACATTGGGGCCCTAGCTGCACTCAGCGTGTCCGGGGATCCCCGGCGCGCCGCGCGCGCCATCCGCTGGACATCAGGGACCTGCGAGGACTGTAGAACTAGTGGGCTCTGTGGAACCTGCGGGACCTGTGGGACCTGTGGGTCCTGTGGGACCTGCGAGACCTGCGAGACCTGTGCGACATGTGGGAACCGTGGGACCCGCGGTGCATGTGGGACCTGCGAGACCTGCGACACCTGTGGAACCTGGGGGGGCCTACGTGCACTCAAGCGTGTCTGGGGATCCCCATCGCGCCGCACGCGCCGTCCGCTGGGAATGCGGGGCCTGCGGGATGTGCGGGACCTGCGGGGCGCGCGAGTCTCCCAAGGGGACCGTTGAAGTCAACGCCATGAAGCGCGAACGGAACGCCGCTGTAAGGGGGGGGAACAGATGGGAATTCTGCGCGGGGCGCCCATTCGGGATTGCCAGGCGCGCGACGCAGCGCGCCCCCCCACCCCCGCACACACACACACACACACACACACACACACACAACACACACGACACACCGCGCGCGCGCGCACGCACGCGCACACACACACACACACACACACACACACACACAAACACACGCGCGCGCGCACGCACGCGCACACCAAAAAGTGCACGGGACAGTAAAACAAAACAAAAAAAAAGGAGAAGCGGCTGCGCCGCTTCTCCTTTTTTTTGGGGGGGGGTGTTGTCTTCATGGTGGGGGGGGGGGCTGCCCCGCTTCTCCCTTATATATACATATATATATATATATGTTTTTCATGGTGGGGGGTTTGGGGGGAGGGACTGTTTTTGATATTTTCTGCCGCGATCCGCAGAACGACCAGGCGCCAACAAAGCACGCGCCAATCCCCGACACGCTAAGTATCACCCAAGCCGTTTCCACGCTAAGTGTGGAGGACTTAGCATGTATAGGCGGCGTTCCAAAATGCACGCTATATGAGCGTTCCTGCTCGTAGGAGGAGGAGGAGGGGGAGGAGGAGGAGGAGCAAGAGCAAGAGCAAGAGCAAGAGCAAGAGCAAGAGCAAGAGCAAGAGCAAGAGCAAGAGCAAGTTAGTTCACTAAGTGAAAAGAGGAAACCCGCCTTACACCAGGGAGGGGGGCTTCCAACGGGCCCCTGTCGGGCCTCCCTCTCGGAGGCGGAGGCGGAGGCGGAGGCGGCGGCGGCGGCGGAGGAGGAGGAGGAGGAGGACGAGGAGGACGAGGCGGAGGCGCAGGCGGAGGCGGAGGCGGAGGCGGAGGCGGCGGAGGCGGCGGCGGAGGAGGAGAAGGAGGCGGGCGGGGCCCCAACGGGCGAAGACGCCCGCGACACCGACCGCGGGCGACACCGGCCGTGGGCGAAGCCAGAAGCGGCCGCACCCCCCGCCGCCCTCCCCGCGGCCTCGAGGCCGGCGCCCGGCACTGGGGCGAGGATGCCGCGTGCGGACGACGAGGCTCTGGAAGTCGTCGTCGTCGTCGTCGTCGTCGTCGTCGTCGTCGTCGTCGTCGTCGTCGTCGTCGCTGTCGTCGTCGCTCTCCGTGAGTGCAGGGCGTCCAAGACCCAGGCACGATCGCGTTGCACATCGAATCAGGACGGGACGCTTTTCCCCAACCCACATGTTGGGGCTGCTAGGTAAAACAAACTCCCGCCTGCCCACCCTGCCTACCGCGGTCGCCAGACCCCACAGGATCCCGAGTGTCCTTGAGTGTCCCGCCTCGCGTCCTCGACGAATGACGGCACCATACCGCGGTCGCCAGACCAAACAGGATCTAGGGTGTCCCTGAGTGTCCCGCCTCGCGTTCTCGACGAATGACGGCACCATACCGCAGTCGCCAGACCTCACAGGGTCTTGAGAGTCCCTGAATGTCCTACCTCGCGTCCTCGACGAATGACGACACCGTGCATACCAGACAGCCCCGAGGGGGAGGCGTCACGGCGTCACGCCGTCCACGTCCAGGCATCACGACGCATGAGCAAAGAGGCATGAAGAATCGTCACCAAGAGCGCACAGCAACAAATGGCACCAATATCAAAACAAACATAGTACGACAGAACAGCATAGCAGAGCATACCATCACAAAACATAGCATAACGGCCATACCAGAATAACAAGCAGCAGGCCAGAACAGACCACAACGCAACATAGCATGGCATAGCATAGCATACACAACATGTCATTATATACCATACCAAAATATAAGACGTCATATGATGACCAGATGTCTCATACCGGAGTGCACGATGACATAGTACAGTAGAACATACACGAGTTGTACGAACATTGCTACCAGCATGGCAACGAGCAAGTACATGAACGAATGGAAATGCCACAGCATGATAGAACATAGCTTATCATGACATAATGATCAGAGCACGGCATCATAGCATGATCAGAGCATAACATATCATGGTATGACATAGCAGAGCACAACCAAACACAGCATCACGTCACATCCCAGATCATCACATAAATAATCATGATGTGACGGAGCAGGACATAACCGAGTACAACATAACACAACACAAGCGAGCAGTGCAGAAATGTTCCACCGCTTAGGCCACTACGGCAACGAATATAATCTCTCATATGCCAGAATCCCGGCCCCGGAGATCCTGGCGCCGCAGCACACCGCGTCCCCAGGGTACACCAAGTGCCCCGTCGGCTCCGGCAGCGTCCCCGAAGCCTCTTCGGAGCCTCCCCCGAAGCCCCGAGACCCACGGTAAAAGTTCCGGATGTCCCAGATGGCTTCAGATTGTTCCAGGACGGCCCAAAATGGCCTCAAGATGGCTCGCAAGGCCCCCAAGACGCCCCAAGACGGCTCCAAGAGAACCTTCTCGAGGGCCGCGAGCGGCAAAATTCATTCCATTCCCATTGGAGAACGTATATAGTTGGCATCTTAATTTTTGGTCCCACCAGCATCCCAGGCGGCTTCGAGAGGCCTCCAAGAGAGCAGAAGCCCGCCGAATAAGCCCCCAAGAAAGCCAGAATGGCCTGAACACGGCCCAGGAGGCGCCCAAGATTGCCCAAAAGCGCCTCAAGAGGGCCCCAGGAGGCCCAAAAGAGGCCCCCCAAGCGCCCCCCGAGCGGCCCTCCGATCGCCCTCGGCGCCAAGGTGGCCTCCGGAGCATCCCAGCAGTCCCCAAGAAGAGGCCCCAAAAGTCCCCCGAGAAGGCTCCAAGAAGCTTCAAAGAGGCCCCCAGTAGACGCCCAATTGGCTCTCATGAGTCCCCCGAGCGGGCCCCGTCGAGACTACAAGGTACTCCCTGCGCGCCTCATCGAAGATCCCCTGATTCCAAATGGTCTACAAACACTAAGAACGAACACAAGCACTCTCCCTTTCACTCTTCCTCATCCTCTTTCTCCTCCTCATCCTTCTCCTGCCTCCTCCCCCTCTCCGTCCTCCACCCCTCCTCTCCTCTCATCTGCTTCTCCCTCGAAATTCTTCACGCTTCGCGTATCCCCACCAGCCCATCTCAAAACAGCAACTCTAGCGAAGCATGCCAACAGTCGTGTTTTTCAGGCGTGTTTCCGCCTGCCCCCGCATATCTCCCCTGTTCCTCCTTCCTCCCGCCTCCTTGTACATCCTCCTTGTGGTGGGGGCGGGAGAAGGACGAGGCGGAGGAGGAGGGAGAGAAAGCGCTCCTCGTGGTTTGAGTCGTTTGGGGTTTCTCGTCCTGGTGTGAGTCGTTCGGGCCCTTCTTCCTGGTGTGAGTCGTTCGGGCTCTTCGTGGTGTGAGTCGTTCGGGCTCTTCGTCCTGATGTGAGTCGTTCGGGCTTCTCGTGGTGTGAGTTGTTCGGGCCCTTCGTCCTGGTGTGAGTCGTTCGGGCCCCTCCTCCTGCCCGTCCAGAAACGACGCCCAGGCGAGTAGAGGGTCGTCCTGATGGGCTTTTCGGCGTCTTGGGTGCCTCGGGGGGGCCTCTTTGGGCCGTTTGGGATCCTCTTGGGGGCCTCCTGGGGGCCTCTTGGGGCCATCTTGGGGCCTCTTGGTGCCTCCTGGGCGCTTCTTGGGGCCATCTTGGAGGAAATCGATCGAAGAAGAGGGGAGCTTTAATTAGCGCTGCCCCCTCAGAAAGCCAAAATGGGGCCAAAACCTTAGTAAAATCAATGACTCTACAGGCTTACGCCACATCCGCCGACCCCTTCTGTGAGTGTTGCGAGGCCAGGAGTTTCTGGCCAGCGGCGTCTTGTGTGAGGGTGCGGTGTCGCTCGCGGGTGGTGGCAGATAAGTAGGGGGTCCAAATGTTTGCGTGATGCCGGTGGTCTGGGGCGTGTTTTGCGAGCGCTTTGCGTGCTGTGCACCCGGGTGCGGGGTGTCCTTCTGGGAGGTCGGCCTTTCGACCCGCAACCAAGTGGAGGAGCACTGGAAGACGAAAGGAGCAAGAGTAGTGTGTGGAAGCTGTGATCAGCGAAGCATCACAGCGAAAGATGTGGCAGATGAATCGAAACGGGTGAAGAGGCTGTTGACGTTCGCAGCGCGCACGAAACAGTTCGCGCGGCAGCAGCACATTAGCGCCGAGCAAGATAGTGAGCACGTCGCGAGGAAGAGTAAGGTTGTATGCGCGGAGTGCATTGCAGTTGGCGTGACGGCTCGCAATACGGAAGCGTCTGGGGGTCTTTTGGGGGCCTCCTGGGGGCCTCTTGTGGGCTCCTTGGGGCGTCTTGGCGGTTTCTTGAGGGCCGTTGGCGGCCTGTTGGGGCACTGTTGGGCCCCCCTGGGGCTCGTGGGGGCGGAAAACTAGATTTTTGAATTGTTGGTTGCCCTCTTGGGCCCCTCCTGGTGCCGTCTTGGAGCCTTCTTGGGCCGTTTTGGGGACCTCTTGGGCCGTCTTGGGGCCATATTGGACCGTCGCGGGGCCGTCTTGGGGGCCTCTTGGGCCGTCTTGGGGCGGTTTTCGGGGCCTCTTGGGCCGTCTAGGAGCGTCGGAAAGCCCAGAAGGCGGATGTGTGAACATTGTACGTTTCACGACGGGAATACGTACATGTCTGCGTCCAGGGACCGTCTCGGGACGCATCCTGGGGGCCTCTCAGGGGCGTGTTGGGCCATCTGGAGGCCATTTCGGGTGTCTACGATCGCTCTGGGACCGTGTGGGACCATGTTGAGCTCTCTTGGAAGCCACTTGGAGCGCTCTTGGGGCCGTCATCGGGGCTCTCTTGGGCCGTCTTCGGCGCCGCTTGAGCCGTCTTAGCGCCTTCTTGGGCTGTCTTGGGGCCCTCTTGGAGGCTTCTTGGGCCGTCTTGGGGCGGTTTTGGGGGCCTCTCGGGCCGTCTGGGAGCGTCGGAAAGCCCGAAAGGCGAATTTGTGAAAAACGCACGCTTTACGAAGGGAGCGGGCTAATTTTTGCGTCTAGAGGCCCTCTTGGGACGCATCTTGGATGCCTCTTGGGGCCTCCTGCGGGCATCTTGGGCCGTCAGGAGGCCATCTTCGGTGTCTTTGATCGCTCTTGGGCTGTCCGGGACCATATTGAGCTCTCTTGGAGGCCACTTGGGGCGCCCCTGGAGCGCTCTTGGGGCTCTTTTCGGGGCCCTGTTGGGCCGTCTTGGACGCTTGTTGGGCCGTCTTGGGGTCCTCTTGGGCTATCTTGGGACCCTCTTGGAGGTTTCTTGGGCCGTCTTGGGGCGGTCTTCGGGGCCTCTTGGGCCGTCTTGGAGCGTCGGAAAGCCCAGAAAACGAGTTTGTGAAAATTATACGTTTTACGAAGGGAATGGGCCAATTTTTGCGTCTAGGGACCCTCTTGGGACGCATCTTGGAGGCCTCTTGGGGCCTCGTGGGGACCTCTTGGGCCGTCTTGGAGGCCTCTAGGCTCGTCTTGGGGCCATCTTGGGCGTCTGGGAGCGCTCGTTTGGCGTCTCGGGGCCCTCGTGGGCCGTCTTGGAGGTCTCTTGGAGCCTTCTGGGCCTGTCTTGATCCCCTTTTGGGCCCGAAAGAGCCCCGTGGCGCGCTCGTGCTGGGCCCGGGGGGGGGGGGTCAAATCTCCGGTTTGGGGTCCCTGGGGGGGGGGATTATGGGGGGGGGAACTATCTCACACGCCTAGAGACCCACAAGGGGTCGGCGGATTTTGGCTTGAAAGAAGAGGGGAGCTTTAATTAGCGCTGCCCCCTCAGAAGGCCAAAATGGGGCCAAAACCGTAGTAAAATCAATGATTTTGGCTTCAAAGAAGAGGGGAGCATTTCCGTCAGTCCCCCCGTCGGGGCCAGAATCCTCGTGAGGGGTGTCGTTTTTTAGCCCTCCCAGGAGTCGGAAAAGGACCCTCCAACCACCCGCGAAAGGCCCCCTCCAGGCCCAGGGGGAGGGGGGAGGGGGAGGGGTAATCCCCTCCCCGAAGGGGAAGAAGGGGGGTTGAGAACAGAGAGAGCTCGCTAAACCACTCACGCCCAAAGGGCTGGTGGGATTCCCTCCCGCCTGCCTCCTCTCTCACTCTCCTTCATTCACTGCTGCCTTCTCCTTCCTCCA